GGCAGCAGCTCGGCAAAAATTCCGCACCCATCGACGGACGACAACGCATCGCTCTTCTCAGCGAAGAGCAGAGCGATCCGTGCTCATGCTGTCCTGTCCAGCGCAGCAAGAAGACGTGGCCGCACTGGAATTCAGTGGCCTCTCCTGCAAACCAAGAGGCCTCCGGTCAAATATGTTGCGACTCAGATCCCGTCAACGACGCCAGCAACCTCGTTGGACACGTTGCAGAATTCCCGTAGGCAAGTACATTGCACCCAAGTCCCGACGTATTGGAGCTTGGATAGCTCTTTGCCGTAAGCTTTATCACGCTCCATAACGAACATCGCCCATTGCGATCCATTGCAAGGCAAATGAGAGCGCCGATCAAGTGGGCAGTGTACTCATCTAGGCGAATTCCAAGAAACGAGGGTCATGTCCACTTGGAGAGCCGTGTCCAACGGCATGGAGAGCGTGACACATGCGGCGCAGGTGCAAGTCCCGGATCCATTCTGCATCTTCCATCATCTTGCCATCACGTATGACGATGCGCCAGGTGCTACTGATGCTGTGCGCGCTGGTCATGGTGGCTGTCGCGCAGACGACGCCGTCGACAACCAACCCCTTCTTGCCCGCGGAGAGCGCGTGCCAGCGCTGCGCCAACACGGGCACGTGCGACCAAGCGTACCGCGGCAACGCAGGCAAGTACTGCGGCAACTGGCTCGCGCCGCCGAACCTCGCGCGGGCCGTGTGCTGCTGCCCGACCAAGAGCATTTGCGCCATCTCGGCGGACCTCAAGCGCTGCGAGTGCCGGGAGGAAAAGTCGATTCCGTACTGGGTCTGGATCCTTGTCGCGATTGGTGTCATCCTCATCGGCGTCGGCATTTACTTTTGCTGCTGCCGCCCCACGCCCACCCCCGAGACCGTCTACGTGCAGCAAGCCGCGCCCATGTACGTCGAGCAGCCCATGGGCATGTGCGGTGCGCCCGGCCAGCCCGTTTACGTCCAAGGGCAGCCGATGATGGTCAATGGTGGCTACGGCTACGGCGGCTACGGTCCGGGCTATGGCTACGGTGACGGCGGCCTCGCGGCGGGTGTCGCGGTCGGTGCGACCGCGGGTCTTGTTGGCGGCCTTGCACTCGGCGCAGCCATGGACGCGGGCCACGGCTATGGTGGTGGCTACGGCGGCGGCTACGGCGGCGGCTACGGCGGCGAAGGCGGCGGTGGCGGTGCCACGTTTGGCGGTGACTTTTAACCCACGAGTAAACTCGAATATCTATTCTGAAAATATTGTTTGAGCACTATGCGGAGGGAGTCAAGGAGAGAGATTTGCGGGATGCAGGCCTGATTGGGAATTCCGCGTCACGTCATCTCGCAGTCTACAACGGCAAAGTGCATGATCGATCGTAAGCGGATCGTGGGTACACAAATACACGGCTACGGCGTCGTAATACATTCGTACTCTAGTATGTACTGTACAATGCTGTCTACTAGACCAAGGACTGACGCGATCATCCGGCGTGCCACTCTCCAAGATACTGGCACCCACTGACTGGCACCCAAGGAATCCTGCCTTGCACTGCGATGAGCGCTATAGCGTTCAGAAACCATCGTCATAGCAACGCACCACTCGTGCACGCTGGCTTGTCCCTGCTTGCTTGCAGAGGCCGCCTCGGTGGCATCCGCGATGACGGCCTCGGGCTCTTGACGTGCCGTATGTAGCGGTGGTCGCCAGCATCCACATCTCCGCCAGGAGGGGACTGACTAGCGTACCGTGCACTAGTAGTGCAGTACGTCTTGTCGCGGCTAATTGCGCTCGTGCAGCGCAGTTGCGGCGAGTCCTATCTGAGCCTGCAGACACCTCAAAGATTGTCCTTGCGAGTGTGAGGCTGCAAATGGTGTGCCTCCATACAACCATTCATATATCCGTGATACAACGGAAATAGTATGACACACCTAATGCCAAAAAGAGGGTCCATTGTCGGCGTTGACAAGAACGTACACCTCGTGCGACTATAGAACTGCTAGTATTGGCAACACACTCGAGTCCGAGCGTTTGATATTTCGGGTAGAGGTCTCGCCGTGACCTACGGCCGAGTGACCTGGAGGACACACATGCGTAAGTTGCGCTTAGCACCCGCGTAATGCTTGCGACTCGCTGCGGAGCCGTTGCTTTCGCGAGCTCCAGCAACGAAGAGGGGCGATAAGCTTACCTATTTTCTGAGAGCTCTGATTTATTTGGAGCAGCCGCGCGACCGCGAGCTCGTGCAAGGCTGCGCGGTTGCTGACGCTGGAAGCTTGAAGAAGTGGTCCCTCTTTTTGTCACGGCGCGACAGGGCACAAAATTACACCCGCTGGCGGCACGGATGTGGAAAGATCGTGCAACATTTTAAAAACCTGCATGATACACTTATGGTTCGTATACAAATTAAACTTTCAATTAAATCGACCCAAGCAGAATCTCGCACGCTGGAGTCATTTTCCGATTTCGCGTCCGATGCGCAAGTCCATTGCCTCCTGCCTCCTCCTCTTGGTGGCGCTGCTCGCCACCGTCTGCGCGCAGACGCCGGCGCCGGCGCTTTCGCAGCCCATCGACCAGTGCCTCCAGTGCCAAACCTACGGCCAGTGCGCGCTCGCCTACAAGAACACGCCCGGCCAGTTCTGCGGCAAGTGGGTCTCGGCCGCCGGTGTCCTCCCGTGCTGCTGCCCCGCCAACAGCGCCTGCGCCATGCCCAAGGACAGCAAGGCCTGCCTCTGCAAGGAGATGCCGCCCCCGAAGAAGGCGACGCCGTTCTGGGTCTGGATCCTCGTTGCCATTGGTGTCATCCTCATCGGCGTCGGCATTTACTTTTGCTTTTGCCGCCCGTCGGCCGACGACGAAGTCGTCTTTGTCGAGACGCAGCAGCCCGTGTACGTCCAGCAGCCCCAGCCCGTTGTGTATCAGCAGCAGCAGTACGGCCAGCAGCCCGTTGTCTACCAACAGCAGCCCATGTACGTCCAGCACACGGTCGTCCACGACAACGACGGCGGCATGGGTGTCGGTGCGGGCGTCGCGATCGGCGCTGCGGCGGGTCTCGTCGGCGGTCTTGCTCTGGGTGCTGCCCTTGACAGCGGTGCTCACGGTGGCGGCGGCGGCGGCTACGGTGGTGGCTACGGTGGTGGCGACGACGAGGGCACCTTTGGCGGCGATTTTTAAGCCTCTCGCCCTTCTATCCTATAACCTTGCTAAATCTATTTGATCTACATCGACTTGCCTCTCTACTGCCTTCGAGACGAGCTTCTCGCGCGTCATGGGACCAAGCACGAGCGTTCCAACTACAGTGTATTCTCACGGCAGGTTCACCCAAAATACAGCGCGCGCTGAGTCCGCCCCTGCAGCGTCGCAGACAGGCTCAGCTGACAGGATTGAACTTTGAGATCCCGCCTTCAATTCCCGCCATCCAGCGTGGGACGCTCTATGGATAACAGTATGGGGTATCTCAGGGGGTATCTGGGGTATCTGGCACATGGACATGACACATACTTTGTCAGGCGCACGTGATACCACCTCCACGCCTCTAGTCACAGCGTGTGGCCACATCGCGTTCGCTCTTGGAGCAACGAACGGCGGGAACTGCGTTCTTATTGCATCCGGTTATCGTAGCAACGGCCATTTTGGTCGCTTCAACGGTCGCGGTTCCGAGCGTGAACTTCGAAAATCGATCGACCATGTCGCGTCTCGTGCTGGTGCTCGTCGCGCTGCTCTGCGCCGCAGTGCACGCCGCGACTGACACGTGCCAAGTGTGCGCATCTACAGGACAGTGCGACGCGGCCTACAAGGGCCTACCCGGCAAGTACTGCGGCCCGTGGCTCTCGAGCGGCGTCAAGCAGGTGTGCTGCTGCCCGACCGCCGCAGTCTGTGCCATCCCGCTGCAAGCCAACGCTTGTCTCTGCAAAGCGCCCCCGCCGGCGCGAGCCTCGTCGTCCGATGCCACACCGACGTACGTTTGGGTGCTCGTCGCGCTTGCTGTTGTCGCTGGCCTCGCCTGCTTTTGCTGCTGCCGCAGCACCCAACATGCCAGTGATGACAGCTACGTTGCGATTCAATCGACGCCGCAGCCCATGTACGTCCAGCAGCCCGTCTATATGGCGCCGCAGCCCGTGTACGTGGACCGAGGGCCGGGCGTCGGAACCGGCATGGCCATCGGTGCCGCCGCCGGGCTCATCGGCGGTATTGCCATTGGCGAAGCACTCGCTGACCATGGCGACAGTGGCTATGGCGGCGGCTACGGTGATGGCGGCGGCTACGGTGATGGCGGCGGCTACGGCGGCGACGGAGGCACGTTCGGCGGCGACTTCTAGCTCTTCAGACCACCACACTCCCAGTTGACCAACAACGCGTATTAGTATGCTTTTACATGACAAGTTGTCACAACTTCGGCCGGATGTTCCATGTGGCAATTGTTCCAGCGGTTGTACCCGAGCCAAGTGGTTTGTTTAAAATCAGTCGCCGATGGCGACGCCAGTAGCGCGTCTCGTCCTACTGGGGACGCTGCTGCCGGTGCTTGCGATAGACGGCTGCGCCCGCTGTGCTCGCACGGGTGACTGCACTGCCGCGTACGACGGTAGGCCCGGTGTCTTTTGCTCCACAGCCGCGGGTCACTGCTGCTGTCCGGCAGCCAGCGCCTGCATGGCTCCCACCGCTGAATGTTCCATGTGCGTTTGTCAAGCGCCTCGTCAGTTGCTGCGCCTCTTGCCGGACGACCCGTCTTGCGTTGTGCTTGGCGTCGTCGTCTTCTGCGTCGCAATCTTTCTCATCCTGCCGCTAGTCTGCTCGATGTGCTGCTACTGCTACGATCCCGCCGGGACGCTCGTCGCCAAGCTACGCGACCTCCAGCCAAGCGCGTACGAGCCGCCAGACGTCGCGGCCGTGCTAGCATTAACAAGAGTGCATCGTGAGTCGGCGCATCCAAAGGTCGATGACATAATTGAGCACACTCGTCTTGTTCTCTGTGCCAGAGCTCGTGGCTGGACCAGGGATGGTGAGTATGGGCCATTTTCGTAATGAGTGAATACGTACTCACGACTCAAAATTTCTTAATGTGAGTGCACTCACAACTCTGAGTGACTCGGAGCCGACTCAGAGCCTACTCAACGCTACAATGCTTGCGCTTCTTGGCCCGCTCATGCGTGGGAGCCACCGCCGCTGTACCAAGTGTTTTTGGCGTTGATGCCCGACTCGCTCTCATCGTTGTTGGCGTCGAGGTCGAAAAATTTGACGAGCGTCGCAGCAGCTTGCGAAGCAGACATTGTCGGTGGCCATGCTGAGAGCCGTCTTGCGGTTCACGATGAGTCTCGCCACGCACGCATGTACGCGCGCGATGACGTCGCGGTTGCCTTTTTCAAGGTAGCCATCCAAGGTTCCACTCTGCTTCCCGCCAACGTTGCTGGCCTTCTGGGTACTGTTGCTGGCCGGCTTCTGTGGAGCAGCCTTGCGCACGCTGGCCTTGGGGACGAGGGACGGATGTTTGTGCTTGAAATGGTGGAGCGCATTCGACGCCCTCCCCGCGTAGAGGGCGACGATACAGTCGCTAAACTTACTCTTGTTGCTCAGGCACACGCGGCATACGTAGTCGTAAACGGCGGCTTTGTCGTTCTCGCTTGGCACACGCTCGTACTCGCCGAAATGCTCCCAAATCCATGAGGTCCGGCCCTTGCGCGTGCGTTGGACGCGTTGGTGGTCGCCATGGAACACATTTGGTTGGGTCTTTGCTGAAGGCACACGCGTGCGTTCCATCCTCAGCCATTCGTACGTCCGACGATTGCCGTCGTGTGCACTCTGTAGACATTCGGCAATTAGAACTCTCAACTGTTGTGTCTGTGCCGCATCATGCAGTCCGGCAATGTCTTGCTTTTAATTCCGAATATTAAATGCGCCTTAAATAGGCTAAAATGCCACGCCATTCCGGGGTTCGAAGTGGATGACTCGACCCACTCACATGCACTCACTCAATGAGGTGCCTGAGTGAATAGCGATTCACTTCCAGTGAATCTACTCGTGTTTGTAGGAAACGCGACTCAACTGGTATTCACTCACCATCCAGCCGCTGGACAAAAATGAAGCTTGCTCGAAGCGACGTTGTCGGCGCGTGGCAGGGCGCTTCAGCGAAGGTGACGTCGAGCTGCCGGTGAAAGTGGCTGCGCTGCGCCGAGCTTGGGATTGCCATGGCTGCCCGCCATTGTGCCACGAGCATCGGGACTTGGTCGCTTCCGGCTGCAACCTTGGAAATTTAAAAAAAGTGCGAAGGGATTGCATACAAACACCAAGTATCATTTCGGTTGGTCATTAATATTAGCTCTGATCATTTTATTGTCACTAAGTTTGATAATTGTATGCCTATTTTTACTTTTCTAAAAATGCGTGCGTGGCATTCCGATTTTCACCAAGATCTGGCTGGCATGGCATCGTCGCGGTCCCTGCCATCGATGGACGCGCGGCCACCTCTGGGCGCCAAGGTCGGCGAAGCGCACCGACCGGCCATCGACATCATCGCCACGTACATGAACTCGTCGGACAACCGGCTCAACGCCAAGGCCGACAGCACGCGGTCCGTGCATGGCTCTGGTGATCTCAAGCGACCGTCGTCGCAAGCGCAGAGCCGCGACAGCAGCGCTGAGTGGGGCTGGTTTCACGACATCGACAGCAGCGTCGAGTCGATGGGCGACAACTCGATGATGGGCATGCCCCGGCGGCGGTTCAGCGGCGGCGACTCTGGAGGCCACATCATTCACGACGAGCAGCAGAGCTTGAGCCGCATGACAGCGCTCAAGACGTTTCCAAACGATGGCAAGGTGCTCACGGCCGCTGTATCCATTCCCAAGTTCCGCATCGTACAGAACCGCGCCGGCGCCGACCGCCACGCCGAGTACCTCGTGACGTTCAAGCTCGGGCGCGAGTACCACACTGACTGGCGGCGCTACTCGGAGTTTGAAGGTATCGTCAAGAAGCTCGACATGGGGCTGTACCCGCGGGCGAGCGTCGCGTGGCGCGCCGTTGACAACCGCTGGTTCAACCGGCTCGAGCCGAGCTATCTGCACAAAAAGTGCATTGCGCTCGAGGTGTTTCTTCGGGACCTCATGTACGAGCTCCTCGAGCCCGACGTCTTTATCGACTTCCTCGGCAGTCGCGTCAACTCGCGCCCGTCCGACGCCTCAGCCGAGCGCGCCGCCGCCCAGCTGCCCAAGGAGCTACGTCCGCCCCAGCCCCAGGAAGAGCGCGAGCTCTTTGAGAAGCTCTGGGCCGAAAACTTCAAGCGGTCGGCCGTCAACTACACAGAACCAGTCGTCGCCGACGGCTGACTTATTTACACATAACACTATTACGAGTGCAGCTATAACTCGCAACGTTGTCCCACGCCCATGGCCTTGACAGGCACCCAGTAGCACGCACCTGCGCGGCAAGTAGCCACCATCCCCGAGCCTCCTCGGGCCGCAAAGCTCCGGCAAAATACTTCAGTGTGAATGCACATATACAACAGCAAAGGCGCGTGCTGCAGCTGCTAGCGTCTCGGCTTGGTCAGCTGCTGGCCATTGCTCATCCTAGGAAGCGGTCGCCACCCTGGCGTCAAGGTCGCGCTGCTGAATTGTGCTGCTGATCGTGGCTGTTTGCACCCAAGGACCCGAGCGGGGTTACTCACGGCCAAGGTGTCAAGCGGCCCACTCTACCTCCGCCCACGTGGAAGCCGCGTCCACATCAAGGCGGAGCCACATCGTGCCACATCACGGCGATGCGATCTTTGCGCGTCCGCAGCTTCCGCAGCTGGTTCGGCGCCAAAGAACTGCAAGGCCATTGGTCAAAACACTTGGCGTTTTTCTGATTGGTCGTTCTAAAATAGCACGACCACCCATCTTTAATAGAAAAGATTCAATTCGATTGTAATCTATCTATGAAGGAAGACGAAATACGAATAAAAATCCTTTTTATTCATGACCGACCGCCGTTTGCAGGTCACGACGCGCCAGTTTGGATTTGGCGGCGATGACGGCAACGTGGTGTCTCCGCATGATGGTGCTCAGCGCGCTCGTGGCGGTCGCCGCTGCCGACAACCGGTACGAGGCTGACGGCACGCCGTCGATGCAGCTCGTCGTTCTTGGCCTGCCTGTCTGGGCGTGGATCCTCATCGGCTGCGTCCTCTTGGCCGGCGCCGGCTACGGCCTCTATCGCCACCTCGAGAAGAAGATGGCAGCGGAAGACGCTGCGCTTCCTATCGTCTATATTGAAGCCAAGACGACAAAGGCCTCGCCGGCCATCGTGCTCACCGACGCCGCATCCGTCGCGCTCGCGCAGCCTGCGCCGCCGCCCCACGTCGTCGTCTAAGCATCCAACACGACTCTATTTATGCTCATGTTGTCGGGCAGCGCTATCGTCACAGTGCTCTCCTGCAGGCAACGCTACTGGCTCATGTACCTGCTTCTTGTCCTCGGTCATGGACAGGCCAGCGAATCCGCACCAACTCATGCAGATCAACATCGCAGCGCATGCTAAGCAGCATGACATGTAAATATTATCCATTAGCTCGGACGGTACGCTACGCATCTTCCTCATGTGGCATTAGGCCTTGATGGGCCCTGCGATCGAGACAAAGTCGTCAAAGGTCTCGTGCTTGGCGGAAGGCCGCGGCGGAACCTGTCGGCGCGCGACGTCAAGTGCTGCTAGCAGGAGACGCGACTGTGCGCCATCGAGAGGTGTGAGCCGGGGCAGCGACTTGCGTATCTGTAGGCTTGCGCTGTCAAGAACCCCGCGCGCTGTGTCGTGAAGCTCTTCGGCAGTCCAGCGGGCAGCCATGGCCAACGCGCGGGCGGCGCGGATGCGGTGGCGGTCGTGCAGCGTCGGTGACGTGAGCACTTGGTCATCCGGAACGATCTCAGGGCGCTGGACGACGACAAGCGACCGCATCGAGCGCCTGCCGCCTGTCCGGAGAATCGTATATTCGACATGGACGTCGAGAAGCAGCTGCAGAAGCTTCTCGGAGGCCGCCGGGAGCACCTCGACCTTGAGGAGGACGTCGACGTCGTCGCCGGTTGAGATGGTGGCGATGCGCACGCGGTACTCGGAGTAAGCGTAGATCGTGTCGTAGTCGTGCATGGTCTCCATCTCGATCCAAACGCTGGGCCCTCCTTCACACTGGAGCCGGACGTCCGCGACCGCTTCGATCGCGTGCATGTGGCAGTTGACGAAGACGACGCCGTCGGCGTCCGCGGCAACGTGCGCCTGCGACGGGTACGCTCGTAGTTGCAGCATGAATATGAATATGGTTCCGAGAGAAAACGCTGAGTGCTGGACGAGCACCATCACTCACGTTACCAGCGCTCCTCGAGAGGTAGACTTGAGCGATGGTGCGGTACTAGTACCGTAGCTATAAGCTCCAGTGCATTAATTGGGACCCTTTGGCGCAGAGAGGCCAGCCGGATGTCCCCATCAGACACGTTGTGGGAGGTGCATGGCGGCAACACTTGGTATTTAGTTTAGTGTGAGGTACTTTCCACTGGTCGATTCGCCCATTTCGGAAATCTAGGTAAGCTTACTTGATTTGTGGGCCTCTGGCGGATCGGAATCTGTTGTAACATTTCCAGCGGCCAAGTCTGGGACAACCGAAACAGCTCAATACCACCTTTCAACAAGTGTAGTTCGGTGTTGTGGCCATAGAGCGATCCACTGTGGACATATTTCCCAGCAATGACAATAACACTATTTTTGTATACTCTTCGCGTTTCAATAGCTGCTCTATCGCAAGAGAAATCTCGTCGTGAAAATACACATTTCTCGTGGTGTCAACATTTAAAACGCGGATATCTCGAGCTCCAGGTCTCGAACGAAGGCGCTACAGCGCATTTCGTCATCTCCAAAACATACTGTGCCGACCTGCCAAGTTTCAGTCATCTCGATTTCAAAGTCGATCTGGCCTCCTCGCGGCCTCGCGATCGTCGCGCTGCGCCATCGCTCACTGATACTTGTCGCGGATTGGCTCAAAATACATGATATATGGCCAATCCAATCGGTCGTTCGAGTATCAATCCATCATACCAGGGGTTTAAAACAGCTCAGTTTTTCACGTATCCCATTGGCTGAAATAGGAAAGAAACATCGCGGGTGCGCTTTTCCGAAAATCCCGGTGCGGCTTTCGTCCGATTGGTTCAAGTCCAATCCAGCATTGGGATGGAGTCCAGCAACCCAGCTCTTCTGGCCGCGCTTCCTGCCGACGGCGCCGTCGCCCAAGCGCTCTTCATGGCCCATGGCACTGGGCTATGCGTCCGCTGCTGCATGCGCTTCGCCGGCGTCAGCGACGAGAAGCTCTACCGGTACGAGCGCCCATCGCTGTCCTCGCTGACAAATCTCTCTCTGCCAGGCGTCCCACCGCCGAGCTTGCAGCCACGTGGGCAGCCTATGCGGCGCAGCATGCGCAAGTCGACCTTGCCGCTTCCGAAGACGCGGCCAACTGCACGGTCTGCCTCAACATCTTTGAAGGCCTTTTGTCGCCGGAAGGCCTGGCGATGGTCGAGGCCAGCGTCCGCGACAGCGGCTACACGACGACAACGTTCCTCATTGCCATCAAGATCCCGAGCTCGGTGCTCATCCGCCAGCATGCGCTTCTGCAGTACCTCAAGACGAAGCTCCACCCTGTCGACTTGAAGGAAGTGCTCAAGGTATCATCTCTCCATGCGCTCGATACCTCGATTGACGACAAATGCGACTAGTGGTGCATTACGCCCGTCTTTGCGTCCTTCTTGGGCGACGCGACGTACGACGCATCGAGCGATCTCACGGTGAACCTGCAGTTTGGCCACCCGCTCTCGGAAGCCGAGGCGATGCAGCTGCCGTCGCTCCGCGTCCGTCACCGCCATTCCACGTCCTATCCTCATAAGACGGTATACTGTAGGACACGATCATGCAAAACAAGAAGCGCAAGCTCGAGATCGACGGCTTTGGCGCCGTCTCCCGCGCGCTCTACAACCTCCACGTGCTGCCGGCGGGCGTCCCGAGCCCGCCGACTCGCACCCAGTCGGCTGCGTCCATCACGGTCTCGGTCGAGCGGGCGCCAGTCTACGTCGCGGGTCGGTACCTCAAGTTTATGCGCGGTCTGAGCCAAACGCCCTGGTATGTCCCATCTTGTCCATGTCTTGGTCACTCAGATATGGATGTAGGGTCCTCGATGGCGAGCGTATGGGCGACTCGTCGGTCGAAGAGGCGATTGGCGAAATCATTGCGCCCATGTTTGGCACCAAGTCGTACAAGTTCCACACTGCCGGTCGCGAAGACGTGGACGTGCGCATGCTCGGGAACGGTCGGCCGTTCATCCTCGAGCTCCTCGGTACTACTTGCGTCCTTGCTGAGTCGATCTTATTTTTTTTATGGTTCTAGACGCCAAGGTGGCGACGCTGGCGGCCGATATGTACGCTACGGCCCAGGACCAAGTCAACGCTGCCAACGTCGACATTGTCGAGATCCGCGAACTCACGTCGGCGACTAAGGTGCGCCGTCCTGATGATACCGCATCTGGTAGCATAAGTATTTAGGAGGGCTTTGCCGCGCTGCAGTCGGGCGCCGACTCGAAGCGCAAGACGTACTGGTACGCATTCTATCTACTGTCGCCCACGGTAATCTCATAGTAAGCGAGTAGCTGCGTTGTCTGGACGTCCGGCGTGCTCACGCCCGAGCGCGTCGCGCTTCTCAACGGAATTTCCGACTTGCGCGTCGGCCAGAAGACGCCCGTGCGCGTGCTCCACCGACGCACGCTCCTGACGCGCCCCAAGGTCATCCACGACGCCAGCGTCGAGGTTCTGAACGACCACTACATGCTCCTCCGCCTCACCACGTCCGCGGGCACGTACGTCAAGGAGTTTGTGCACGGCGACCTCGGCCGCACGCACCCCAACGTCGCCTCGCTCCTCGTACCTCCGATGATGCAATAAGATCTGATTGGCTCATCACACAATGGTACTAGGGCTGCGACGCGGACATTTTGCAACTGGACGTGGAAAACCTCATTGACGGCCAGCCTGGTGACGACGCCGACGTCGACATGGACGACGAATAGATGGCTTTATACTATCAATCTATCAAGGCTGTGCATCGAGTGGCGCCAAACTTGCGTACTGGGCTTCGTCCCAGAGATCCCCAATCTCTTCCAGAAGGGACTCGAGCCCCTTGGCGCGCTTCTTGACCTTTGGCTCGGATGGTCTCTCGGTCGGTGGCGGCGCGAGAAGGCTCGTTGCCGTCGGGTTGCCGACGACGGCGGCCGCCATCGCCTCCTTGAAGCGCTGGCACGACATGACGTCGGCCTCGACCGTGTCCTTGGCCAGCAGTCGGTACACGGTGACCGTCCGCGTCTGTCCGAGGCGGTGCGCGCGGTCCATGGCTTGCAGGTCCGTGAACGGGTTCCACGAGTGCTCGAGGAAGAAGACCGTGTCGGCGCCCGTGAGCGTGAGGCCGAGACCGCCCACGGCTGTCGTCAGCAATAGCGCGTGGACGCTCGCGTCCGTATTGAAGCGATCGACGATCGCTTGGCTACAAAAATCTCCACACGTCAACCACTGCAACGAGGGATATGGAGCGTACCGCTGGGGCACCGGCACACTGCCGTCGAGCCGGTCGACGCCAATCTCGGCGCAGTTGGCCGAGAGCATGTCGGCAACTAGGTCGACGGTCGCCTGCAGGTGGCAGAAAATGAGGAACCGGTGGCCGTCGCCGACGTGCGTCTCGAGGAGGTCTTTGAGCGCGAGGAACTTGCCCGAGAGCTCGATGCTTGTGTCGCCGCCGTGGAGCAGCGCCGGGTGCACGCAGAGCTTTTGCAGTTGGCTAAGCTGCTGGAGGCTGTGCGTGCTGCGGTTGGCGCAGGCGTCGTACAGCGCTTTTTGGGCCTCGGGCAGGTCACAGAGTACGTCCTGAATGATTTTCGGAGGCAGCTCTGTGAGCACGTGCTCCTTCGTGCGTCGTAAAATGAACGGCTGCACGCGCGCATGGAGCTGCGTGAGCGCGAGCGCGCCGGCCTCCTACGCGCCTTGAGAATGCCTGCTGCATTGTCTTCTTACCTTTTGGGCGTTGGTGGCCGACTCTTTGCGCGACGCTTGGATCGGCAGCAGCGTCGCCTGGCGAAACTCGGGCCAGAGACCGAGGTACCCCGGCAAGACAAACTCAAAGAGCGACCAGACGTCGACGACGGTGTTCTGAAGCGGTGTGCCCGTCACTGCAATGCGGTGCGTCGCTCGAACGCTCCGGAGCGCCTCGGCCGTCTGGCTCGTCGGGTTCCGGATGACGTGCGCTTCGTCCGCCACGCAGTAGTCGAACGACGTGGTTTGATACAGCTCCATGTCGCGCTGGAGACACGTGTACGTGGTGAGCACGATGACGTTGTCTCGCCACTCGCCGCGCTTCAAATACGGTGTGGCCAGCGCTCTTCGCGCCGCGCTCGACCCTGTGAGCACGACAACGACCGGGTCGTGGAAGAGCCGACGCGCCTCCCGCTTCCAGTGTTCGAGGATCGCCGGCGGCGCCACGATGAGCAGCCGCAGAGACCGACGCTGCATCACGACAGCGATGGACGCGAGGACCTGCAGCGTCTTGCCGAGTCCCATGTCGTCGGCCAGCACCGCGTGGAGACCGTGCGTCGCCAGAAAGGCCAGCCATTGAATACCGTGGACCTGGTACGACCGCCACACGAGGCCGTGCAGCGTCGGCAGTACGCACTCGGGCGGTGTGCCACGCGCCAACTGCTGCAAAAACACTGCCGACGGGTCCGACGACGACGACGGGAGGAGCGCGAGGAGCGGAATGAGCTGCGCCAAGACGCTGGCAGCTTCGCGCGACGCGCGGTTGCACAAGATGCGCAGGGCCGTCGCCACCATCCGCGCCAAGTACGGTACCACCTGCGTCGGCGTTGCCGCGAGCGCCACGATGAGCGCGAGTGCGGCGTCCGGCGAATCGGGCTGCAGCACAGCATCGAGGACTTGGTCGTGGACGTCAGTGGCGAGCACGGCCGCTACTAGCGCGTGCGTGTCTGCCGCCCAGCTGCCGGTGGTGGCCCACGCACACAGAATAGGTCGCAGCTGCGGCGACGTGCGACCCGCGACGGCCAGCAGCCGGCAGAGTCCTTGAAGCTGCTTGTCGCTGCTTGGTGGCGTCACCAGCTCCCGCTCGATCCGGGCGCGCAAGAGCTCCGGAACCATCGGCACGAGGTGGGAGAGCGCAAGGCGGGCGCCGTCAACGCGAACGTCCAGTGGCGCTGTCGACGTCGACGGCCCCAGCGTCACGACGTAGGTTGGCGCCGGGTCGACGGCGACAACAGAGTTGCAGAGATTGTTAACGAGCTTGGTGACGCAGGCGGCGTGCGACGACGCATGGCTCGAGGCAAAGGCGGCGAGCGACATGGCGACGACCGGTGTGACAACCCGCGACGGCTCTTCCTTGAGCGACTGCATCCACGGACGGACGAGGAGGCCGGGCTTGGACCACTGACGCGACACAAAGACGGCGGACGCTGCGGCTGCAGCAATGCGTCGGGCGAGTGTCTCGAAGCTCGTTCGGAGCTTATCCTCGAGAGCAAAGATGTCCTGGCGGAGGTACTGGGCGGTGGTGTACGGCTCGGGCGTCGACAGCGATGCGTACGGAAGATTGCTGACGGTCGCCGCCAGCGCCAGCACGCGGGCCACCGTCCACGATGACGCGTCATCTTCCGTTTTCACCGGCGAGGCAAAGTGCGAATGGAGTCGGATGACGAGCTTGCGGAGCTTTTGGAGGTCGGGCATTTGCTCGGCGTAGAGACTTGTGCGCGGCTGCGTCAAGCTCTGAAGCGCCAAGGCACTGCACGCGGCGGACATACACGTCCATTTCTCAAGGACCCAGAGACCGCAGAGGACGTGAGTGCCCGTGTCGCTCTCCAAGAGCGCTTGGAGCTCGGACGCGCACGTCGTCATACTTGGCGGCAGCGCGTTCAAAACGTCACCAATCGCAGTGCAGAGAACGAGCGTGGTGGCGAGTGATACCCGTCGGGCTGTGATCGGCGCGTTGATCGGTGCAGCGACCTGCGGGAGGGGCCACACGGAGACGTCGACGTGCGAGAGCGTTCTGAGCCAAAGAGAAAGCGTCAAGCCCCACGTAGCATCGACGCGCTTGCCGTGGGCGCGCCACAGCTGCTGCCAGAGACTACTGACACTGTCGCTAAGCGCACTGTCGTTGGACTCGTCGGCGCTGAGCCAGATGAACCAGCACCAGTGCGCAATCGAGAGGACGAGCGGCGGGGAGAGCGGTGTCGTGGCTGCAGCCGTGAGCCACGCCACGCTGGACGTTCGCACAAACGCCGCCGAGTGCCGGAGGTACGTCAGCACCACGTATACGTGTGAGGCCGACCCACGTATGTCATGAGCGAGCAAGCACCGGAGCACATGCCCCGGGGCAACGTCGACGAGCGAGGTCTGCTTGGCCTCCAATAACGCCCAGAGCCGATGGGTGCACCGGTGGACGCTCGACGCCGCTTCGGAGCGTGCGAGCACTTGCGCTGCGGCCGAGTGCACTTCTTCTTCCGACCGCGCACCGAGGCAGTCAACGACAGCGTCCAGAACCTCGGTGGGCAGCGCGACCTTGCAGTAGTGCAGCGCCAAGAGGCCCCCGTGGGCGGCGTGCCATGAAGATGCGCGCAGGTACGGCACCGCATGGCCAATGTGCTGCGGCGCTGCGTCGAGAAGCTTGGCGGCGACCTGCGCTACAAGTTCGCGCACCGGTGCGACCGACCCATCGGAGGCGTAGTCGACCCAAGCCTCGAGCGCCAGCACGCTCAGTCCGCGCACGAGCACCTCGTCAAACCACGCGTGCGAACTTGGCACGCGCGCGTGCGAAAACACATCGCGAAGCACGTGAGCAGCGCCGTGCCGGACTTCCCAGCGCGCGTCAAAGATGGCTTCGAGGCAGTCGAGCAGTAGCAGCGGAAAGCTCGCGAAGCTCGCGTTCGCGCGGCTGTCGGCGGCGACGTCCGTCCGAAAGAGGTGCGTCACTGGCGCGAGGCGAATGACGCGCATCGCGTCACTTGGCAGCAAATCGGCGTCCGCGACCACGCGGTCCGTGTTGGCGCGCGTACCTATCGCGTCGTGAGCATCACCGGCGTGCTGACGCGCCTACTCTGGAGGGCTATTGGTGGCGCGTCGACGGTGATCGACCGGCTCAGACGGCCCCAGAGCCGGCGTCGCTGCAGCGCCAAATGGGCTTGCTGCGACGCGACCGAGTCAAAATTCACTTGGTAATCGTATTCCTAGCACGATTGAGCACTGGGCCAGGTCCGGGACGATACCTCGCCGCCGCTCTTGAGTAGCGGCGCAGCGTTGGCCAAGAGGTGCTCGACATCCAGCTCTTCGAGGCGCAGAAGGCTCTCTCTTTGGGCTACGCACACATGTGATACTGTAGCAGGCAGAAGCGCATCTACCAATCTCGGCGCATGTGGCGAGCGCGACGGGCTGGACCCAGGGCAGCGCATGGATGCTGCCGACCGTACGCGCCGCGGCCACGCGCGTGTCCCACTCGTCGTCGCGGAGGAGCGGGCGCAGCTACAGGCAAAGCGTAGGAGCTGCATGTCGTCGGGCACTCGCACCTTCTGGACGAGCCAGGGCAGGTTGGTGGCCGTAGTGAGGCGCGCGATCTCGTCGCTAGCGTGGGCGCGGATCGGCATGGAGCAGCCATCTACGGCAGCCGGCGTGAGCGCAGGAACCGCAAGCCTCGTCCGTCGGTCGACCTGTCAGCAGCGTAAGGAGGCCCTCGAGGCGCGCTTCCTCCATCGCTTCGATGCAAGCTTCAACGTACTACCTGCAACTCTCAATGCCATCGGTTTCCAGAGGTATTTGAAAATACGCTGGATATTGCTTGGTATGCAGTATCAATGTATCAGCGAGTCGGAATGGCTGTGCGTGGCCGCCAGGGGGAAGAAGTCAAGCGCGGAAGGTAAGTACCTTGGTGATGGCTCCTGAATAAAAAGTGCACACCGTCGGATCAAGCAACCAGTTCTGATTTGTTGGTCCAGATTCCAGATGCGCCCGACCAGAGAGTGTTTGGCCCCGTCCAGGATCGCCGTCCCACTCGACGTTGTGCGCTATCTACTGCGCTCTCTACTGGCTTTTGTAAGCCTCGCCTACGTCGTGTACGACTCGACGTTTTGATGTGCAACTGACCAATGCGAACAGGCTGGCAACAGTCCGAGGCTTTGTGGAGGCACTTGACGCCATCGTGTGCCTTCCGTTCATCCTGTCGGCGGTCGCGCTGAGCCTCTTTGAAGGAGTTCCGTTAGCGCTGGCGATTCGCCGCGAAGAGTTGACAGCGAGCTCTACGGCCGCCGTGGTAGTACTTCCTAATCGTTTGTTGGTTGTTTCGCGGTCGAGTTTATGAGCTTTTTCATCGCCCAGTAAGTGTGGTTGAGCAGGTACGGAGGAGCCGCGAGTTCGGCGGCCAAAGAGCCCTCTGCAACACCGCCTTCGAGAGGGGTGTCAGCGACACGTCAGAAGCCCTTGCGACTGGATTCTGGTTTTGCATTGTGAAAGAACTGGACCAGATGTAAAACACCACTCAGTGCTAGCCCACAAATGCCAGTTGCTCATTTGGTCGAACGATGTGGTGTAAGTAGAAGGCGCTGAGGAAATGACGTTCGATGGACGATTCCCCGCCTTCATCCATGTCCCGACACTCAATAGACGATGCTTGCGTCCTCTGCACGAGGACACGAACCAAGTTGCTGGACGGAGGCGACCAATCGGAACCCTAGTCGTTACAAAATGGACCAATCGCCAGGGATATCGACGGTGCGGTGACGTGAGCCCCCCACTTGCCTCATCTCGCGAGGCTGACACAGTCCAACGTACCCCTATGGCACCAAAACGCCAGGAAGAAGCTGCATCCAAGTCCGCGCTTCACCGCCACCACTACCTCGTCGCTGCTGGTAAGCTGGCCACCCATGCTGAACGAGAGCTCACACTATCTAGCGACTCTCATCGCGGCTTCCTTGTCGATCGGTGCGACAGCGGGCGCTGTTGCGTTTGCGAGTTTGTCGTCGAATAGTGCTGTGACAATGTCGTCGCATTGGTCGAAAGCTGTATCAACTCCTACCATCTCTCTGTGACCTAGCGTGGCGAGTACCCTAACGCGTCCAGTACGAGGTTTTCGAGCTTGAGGCCAATGACACGGAAGCAGCAGCGCCCGCGAATTGTACTGTGGTAGCGCCGATGAATTGCACAGGAGTCGCCAATCGAACGGTATTTCCATCGTCGTCCATGCCCGTGATTCTACCGGTCGGCGACTTGATCACCGAAAATG